ATTCACAAAAGTGTACAACCATTACCATTAGCAATTTCAGAATATTTTCAACACAAAAGGAAACCCACTCCCATTAAGCACTTTGCTTTCTTTCTATTCATTATTTGCATATTGGAATGCAATTGATTGTTGTAAATTTGTTTTGTAACTCACCACTTTGTTGTACTGATTTATTGTTTACAATAGTTTTTTTAATGGAGTCTTTAGGGTTTTCTATGTATGCTGTCATTTCATCTACAAAATAATGATACTCTTTCTTTTTCAATTTGAATTCATTTTACATTTTGCTCTTACTTAATTGCTCTAGCTAGAACTTCCAATGCTCTTGAAAAGTTGTAGTGAAAGTGGACATCCTTGTCTTACACCTAATTTTAGAGAAAATGCTTTCAGTTTCTTACTATCTATTATGATGTCAGCTGTGGTTTTGTCGCATGACCTTTATTATATTTAGGTATATTCCTTCTATCCCCATTCTCTGTGTGTGTGTGTGTTTGTGTTTGTGTGTGTTTAATCAAAAGTGGCTGTTGAATCTTATCAAATGCTTTTCTGCATCTATTGATATGCTCAGATGATTTTTAGCTTTCTATGGATTTATCTTTTCTGGACATTTCATATATATGGAATTATTCAATATTTGCTTGCTGAGGCTAGATTCTTTCACTTTACATGATGTTGGAGTAACTGTTATTTTTCAACCCTGTTGTCATATGTATCAGTATTTCATTCCTTTTTATGACTACTTTAATTGTATGTATATAACACTGTTTATTGGTTCATTAGGTGATGACTTGCTTCTACTTTTTGGCTTTTTATGAGTAGTGTTGTGATGTTGCTTTGAATACGTGTGTACAAATTTTTGTTTGAATATGTTTTCATCTCTTTTTGGTGTAAATACCCAGGAGTGGAATTGCAGGGTCACATAATATTTCTGTATCTAGCTTCTTAAGGAATTCTCTCTTTTGCATAATAATTGCACCATTTTACATACCCATCAGAAATGTGCACAGGCTCTGATTTCTCTACATATTCTCTAATAGTTCTTATTTTCTGTTTGTTGTTGTTGCTGTCCTAGTAACTATGAAGTGATAGTTCAGAATGGTTTTCATTTGCATTTCCCTAATGATTAATGGTGTTGCTTATCTTTTCATGTGCTTGTTGGAGGTTATATATCTTCTTTGCAGAAGTGTCTATTCTGGTCCTTTGTTTCTTAACAGGGTGGTTGTCTTTTTGTTGTTGAGTAGCATATATATTCTGGATATTTGATTCCTCTCAGATATGTGATTTGGTGGATAAGTTTTAATGTCATATCTCCAATATATAAATATATAGCTATATATTTGTGTCATTATACATATATATCAGCAGTAAGCATCACAATCTACAGTTAAAAGCTCAGTAAAACTTTGGGATTAGAGACAAGTGTGGGGAAAGGAGAGAATTTTGGTAAATGTTTAAAATTAATGGTAGATGAGAAGAAAAACAATTTAAAATGTGGAAATTACTTTTCTAAAAGCCAATGTATTAATTGCAAGAAAAAACAGGACAATGAAAGATGAAACATTTAAAAGCAACAAGAAGGATATTTTCAATTTTTATGACCATTTTCATTTTCAGATGAAGTTAGGTAACCACAAAACAAAATGAAAAGAAATATAAATTAACATATTTGTTTGAGTTTGAGTTTTCGTCTGTTAACACAAATATTTTCGCTTAAGAGAACTTCTGGTAAACCAAATATGAATTTTCAATACGATTCCTCTTCATAAAAGAGGAGGGGAAAGAAGTGAAAAAAACCTAGTGAAAACCATTGTTCCTTAACAGAAAACTGACTGTTGTGTATCAGGGTAAGGACCTTCTGCTTTTGCTGGATCTTGCAAAAAAACACTCTAGATCTTGCAGCTTTTAGAATTGCCAGCTAAACGAACTATGATTACATCCATATGACTTGTATCAATTCCAGTTAGCAAAGTTACAAGTAGTTAGTCCTTTAGGTATCTAACTTTCTATTTGTACTACTGAAGAGATGCCAGAAGTTTGTTTTGGAATCAATTGTATTTTATACACATATGTATATAGGCACAAAAGGAACGGTGAAATAACCAGAAAATATACTTTTGCTATTAATGTCTATAGAATTAAGCTTTTTAAAAGGAAGGAGGTCACTTTCACATGTATTTATATATGTTCACAGACTGCCTGACCTTTGGATTTTATTATAACAAATTATTATTACTACTACCTGTATGTTATGATTACCAGTGACAGTTCTCAGAAAAGACTAGTAAACTATTTTAGACTGTCTATTAAAGACAGTGAGGGAATTTCTTTTTATTTCCTGTGGAAAGAACAAGATTGTCTAAATGTTTCCCAGCAGCACCTTCCACAGAGAAGCTCAGTAAGTATTTGACAACTTACTTTGTAAAATTTCAAATATCATGCTTGATACACAAAGGAAAGTGAAAACAAATGAGAGGGAAGAACAGTAGAATAAAAAATCTCTGACAAGGATGACAACCACCACATAAAGTAGCTATGAAACAGGCCTCTCCTTAAGCTTTAAGGAATAAAAGAATGCAACAATGGAAAAGAAGATAAATTTGCTTTAAGTTCTGCACTTCTAAGTTCATCAGTGTTGCTGTATTTAACCTGTGGCACTACCAGGTCATTAAATCATTTCTAATATGAAAAGATTCAACTTTTTTCCTTCGTAAACTTTGACAATTTGTGGGGGTTTTGGAGAAGAGGATAGTGTATCATTCTCTTGCATTAATTTTTTTTGAAAGAAATAAAATGTAAACCTCTGAACACTACTCAAATAAATACATGGTGCCACAAGAATAAAATGATACCTAACCATGTGGTGATTGGTATGGAGTTCACAGTTAATGCTGGCCTTTCTGTAGTGGAAACCGTGGTGACTAGCTGTGTGTGGAGGGCAGGCTTGGGAGTTGGCTAGAACTAAGTACAGTCCAGGCAAACTGACACTTTCCATCTTTCTAGATTGGAAAGGTAATCTTCATCAATAAAATGAGGATAGAAATTGTGAATTCTTCATAGGGTTGTTGTGAAGATTAAATGAGACAAGGAAAGTAAAACTCTTCACACAGTGCCTGGCACAGCATAAGCCTTCATTGAATGTTCTCTAATAGAATCTTCCAAGAAAGAGACCCAGCCTGAAAAACTGAGTCTTCTTCAGCTTCTTCTGGTTTAATTTTAAGAGTCATTGTTCTTTTGGTGATTTTTTTCCTACCTCCCTTCCTTCCCACACCAGGTGACATGCTTAAATTGACCTTGCACATGACCAGTTATAGTTTTTGCGTGCTTCTATTATCTTTACTTATTCATTTATTTGTCTTTCTGTCCAGTATGTTTATTGGAGAAAAAAGAGGTCAGCAAAAGGCAATGATTTCTTTACTGGTAGGACTGACGGAGACTTCAGGTTGGCTGACTCCCAGACCTCGTCAGAAGGGCCACTAGTTTCTTTAAAAATAATCCCTGCTGTTTTAATAGTATCAGCACCTGTTGTTTCAGCTTCCGAAAGAGAGAAGCTATTAATTTCTTCTTCATCAAAGCCGAATTTCTGGTCTGTCCAAACCTTGTTTTCTTCCTTACTGCAGCTGTCTACACCACAAATGCCAACTGTTGAACAGAGGCACCTTTCTGCTTGAATCCAGTAAACTGCCACGCCCAAATATAGAAAGAAAAAAAAAAAATGCTCCACAAATCATCCAGGCAGAGGCCGAATTTGAGATGTTTTTGCTGAACTCTCTTTATTCTACCTTGTAGAAGCCTGGATCCCATCAGAGGCAGCAATTCCCATGTAGCTGCCATGCGTGGGAACACTGCCACAAACATCCGAGCTTTTCCTCACCTGGGTCTGTACCTTCTTGGCCAGAACATTAGCTGCTGGAAGCTGAGAGAGAGTTTAATCTGAGTTCATCTCCATTGTTTGCAAAATCAGAATCCTTTGGGAAGTTTTGAGAAGCAAGTCATAATAATTGTGGGTGACAAAGATCCTCAGTAAGCAAGTTCAGTTTGCCTTTCTCATTACTGTTAAGCGTTAGCAAAGCCTAGGTTATTTAAGGTGTGTTTTCTCGGTGGTCTACTCTAGCCCCAGCCCGGCGCCCCAGGCCACACCAAGCTCCACCAAGGTGAAGGGCTCTCGGGCGTCTGGGGCTTCCAGGGGCGGGGGGAAGCCCGCGCAGCACGCATGCGCCTGCCAGGAGCCGCGGGCCTCTAATAGGAGCTCCGCGCAGCGCCGCGGCCGCAGAGTGGGAGCTGGCGGGGTGCCGGGCGCGGCGGGTGCGGGCGGCTGCAATGCTCAGCTTCTTCCGTAGCCCCGAGGACTGAAACTTCCGTGGGAGGCTCCCATCGGTGCGCACCTCCCAGGGGCGTAGTGGTCTGGGAGGAGAGCGGGAGCCAGACAGAGGCTGCCCAGTGCCCGTGGGAGCGCGCTGCAGCCGGAGAGGCGGAGAAGGGGGAGCCAGGGGCCAGCCGCGCGCCTGGACCCGCGCCCAGCAGCAGCCGCGGCCGCCGCCAGCCCGGCAGGCTCCCGGGACTGCGGCGGGGGCGCGCCGGACCCTCGCCCGCGTCCTGGGTCGCCGCGTGCGCCGGGAAGATTGACCATCAGTTGGTGGAAGAGAGCGCTGGGTCTGTCGCCCTAAGGGCTGCCAGGGCGGCGCGGCTGGAGCCATGCGGACCGAGGTCGGACCTAAGGAGCCCGAGTGCGGACAGCCACTGCACTTGCTGCGGGGAGCCCCGCGAGCGTCGCCCGCCTTTTTGGCTCCTTCTCCCCGCGCTAGGAGGGCATAAAGCAGGGGACGCACCTGGACTCGTGCGCGCGACCTCGAAGTTTAAACTCTTTGGCTCCAGTGACTTGGCTCCAGGGGCCGCGGCTCGTGCACGGTCATCCCGTCGGAGTGAGCTTTCCCTCGGGGATGCTCCGGGAGAGTTCTGTGTCCAGGGGCTGCGAGACTGCAGCGGGGGGCCCCTCTGATTCTGCGCCCGGAGAGTTCCATCAGCAAGTGTCCAATCTCAAGGCCGTCCCTACCGGGGACCTGGCCACCCAGTTGAGGGAGGCGATGCCTTAGGAGCTCCAGGTCCAGCAGCCCGGTGTGGACGGCTTCCAGACGTCGCGGCAGAGGGCACTGGCCCGCTCGGAAAGCGCCGCAGAGACACTGAGCGAAGAGGTCCGGGCCTCAGGACCGCCGGGACCGGGGTCGCCCGGGCCACCACTCCCGGACCGCTCTGTGCCCTCTGGAGTCGTGCCGCCCGCGCCCAGGGTGGTGCCATGTGGGGCGGACGGCGCTCGTCCGCTGCTTCCTCTCGGAACGCCGCTTCGCTCTTGCAGCTGCTGTTGGCCTCGCTGCTGGCGGCGGGGGCGCGAGCCAGCGGCGAGTACTGCCACGGCTGGCTGGACGCGCAGGGCGTCTGGCGCATCGGCTTCCAGTGCCCCGAGCGCTTCGACGGCGGGGACGCCACCATCTGCTGCGGCAGCTGTGCGTTGCGCTACTGCTGCTCCAGCGCCGAGGCGCGCTTGGACCAGGGCGGCTGCGACAACGACCGCCAGCAGGGCGCCGGCGAACCTGGCCGCGCGGACAAAGACGGCCCAGACGGCTCCGCAGGTAGGGCGGGCAGGGGCCAGGCGCAAACGGGGAGACAGATCGTTTGGCCATAAGGGCGAGAAGCTGGGAGGCTGGAGAGGTGAAAGGAATTAGGAACGCTGAAATTTCAGAAAAGTGCCTTAAACCTGGACGTGGTGCCTTCTTTCTGACTCAGCCTTTAATTTGTACAGATTGGGGCACCAGCTCACAGTCCTAAAGAGTGGCTTGACTTGGATTTTTCCGAGGAATGCCACACCTCTAAGGCAGTGTGGGCTGCACACCGTATCCACATTCTTGTCCAGGGACCTCTGTGCCCCTTCCTATGTGTCTTGTCTCCATAGGCCTAACGTCTAGTCAGGGTACAAGGTTTGGAGGTGCCTGAGAGCAGGGGCAGTGCCTTTAAGGAAGACAGCTCTTCAGTGCTTTACCGTGGGTGATGCATTTTGTGGACCCTGGGGACTTAATCCTTCCGCACACGCAGCGGTTGTATCTCTTCCCCACTGGCTTCTGGACAGTTCTCCTTATTGTGTCAGCACTGTGCCTAATCATGCTCTTTGTGGCCTTATTACTATTTTTTCCCTATGTATATTTTCAAATTGCTAAAGTTATAGAAAAATAAACAAGACACTGACTCCTCCACTTTTCAGAACCTCCCAGATTGTCCCCCTTCAGTGCCTATCCCAGTATGTGTGTCTAAGGAAGGAAGGATTTAGTTTCGGAGGGTAGAGGTCAAATGGCAGACGTCACAGATGGGGCTTCTCCTTTTACTGCAGCTGGTTAGTTATGTTAAAGAGAGCATTTTTTTAAACAACACCCTGAGCCTTGGGTTTGAGCTACCTGAGGCTGGCAGTGAGTGGTTTCTGTACTTAGAGAGCTGTCTCCCCAGGCCTGGTAAGAGGGAGCTTCTTTCAGTGCTGCCTGGTTTTGCAGCCAAGCATTTTATTAGCATACTACTCCTATTGTTCTGTTGCCTCGAATCTGAAGAGAGGGGAACTGAGGATAATTCCAGAAAAGGCCCTTTCTTAAAGGCCAACTCAGCCTTGCAGGGTGTGTGGTCGTGGAAAAAAAGCTTTAAGAAATGAGCCAAAAGTAGAATTGCTACCATGATGTTTCTGTCTGTTAAGTTGGGCTTGTTAATGGTCTCCAGAGAGTGGTCATGAATGTGGGGAAATCAGTAAGCAGCAGACTTTTCGTGATGCTATGTCACCTCCTAGGGTGCTGCTTCATTCTACTTTAAATTCTTTTTCCTAAAAATTTTTTTCCTTTCACTTCTCTGCTGCAGTCAAGAAGGACAATATGCCTAATTAAGCAGTGCCAAGAGCTTATAGGAGTACTGCATTCTTTACCCCTGTGTAGTTATTTACACTTCCAATTAAAAATCCTGGAAAGAGAACAGTTATTTCTCCCTCATATTCATTATGTGGGCTTAGACTGGTTTCAGCTAGTTTTTGCTATAATGTTTGGGGTATTTGTGTGTGTGTTTACTATTATTTGTTTATTTCTTGATAGCATATTTAGGGCTGGTATCTTAGAGAATGAAATATTTATAGTGTGCATAGGAAAAAGCCCAGCTTCTACTTCTCTACTAAGCTGTAGTTCGCCTGAAGTCATAGTGTAATTAGAACAGTGCTACTGTCAGAAACCAGCTGTGCTGCGAACTCCATAGCGTTTCTCCCTGCTGAAGGGGTGCTATATATATGATACTTGCTCTGCTCACATTGAAGGCTAAGGCGATCTTCAGTTATCAGCCTTTGTTTAAATACTTATAAAGTGCCTTTTACTTTTTTAGGCATTTTTTTTCCTCCAAGAATTGCTGTGGTGCTATATTCTATAATCACAGACTCCCGAACACTAGGGCAGATACAGGAGCATGATTGGAAAGGCTTGACTCTAGTGGACAAAGGGTATCATGTATCTACCCTCAGATCCAGGAGAATTGGGCTCCTTCTAAAAGTGCTGCCCTGAGCTGGCACTGTGCTTTGCTAAGACCAGGAAGCCCCATCCCTGCCCTCGTGTATTTTCCAGATAGTCAAGGACATGGACTGGAACACGTCAGAAAACATGGGTTCTTGGTAATGCAGGGTGGAATTCCCCAGAAGTGGTTCAGAGGCATTCCACTGCTGTCGGCTTGGCCAGTGTGTCTAGCCTCTGAAAGCTCAGTATTGCTATCTGCATGACTCCCAAAAGAATTTTTTTTAGTAAAATAACTTAAAATTAGAGCTCATTACCCATGTTAATGAAGTTTTTCCTTTTATCTTTCATAGCTTTATTTTTTTTTTCAGAATAAAACTCACGTGTTAAATATGATGCCTGTTGCTTAATGTTCTGCAGACTTTGCTGATAGTTCTTCACACAGGACCAGTGTCATCACTCGAGGTGTGTCCACTCCACCTCAGATAGCCTGGTCCTGCCGGAGAGTTGTCTTGGCTCACTGTGGGCACCTTCTTCCTGGAACAAATGTCTTGTTACTTCAGAATGTTATCCTCTGTACATTGTTTCATGCTGACCTACTGCCTAGAATGACTTCCTTCCACACAAGTCAAAATAGCTTTCTATCATCCAAATCCCCAAACTAAACCTACCACCCAAAGTCAGCCTTTACTTGTGGGGAGGGGGAGAAGGAGGGCAGAGGAGCAAGGATAAGGATTCCCTTTGTTTTTCCCTTTGTGCCTTACAGACTCTTTTTGGAAATGGTTGTGGCTAGAGTTTGACCTAAAGTTATGATTTATTTGCTAATGAAAGAGAAACCTGTTAAAAAATAATGAATATCTTTCTGGAAGAAAAAAGACATAAGTAATTTAAACTCATTTCTATGCAGACTGCTACAACTATCTATTAGGGCAGACTTAAGTTTGGGCATTTCAGTTATTATAAGAATTTTAGAATTCTAACAGCCTTAAAACATTAAATCTTATATTTGCTAAATGGGATATTTATCTCAGGCAGTATTGCAGTTGCTGAGTCTAGCTATAAATATTAACAGTTGCTTTAGGGGTTGATCGACCATGCTAGAGCTCTAACATCTATCCCAAAGCACTTGATAAAGAATAGTGTTTCCTATGGGCTGCAAATGAACGAACAAATTGACTCCATCTAGGTCCTTCAATTATGGGGATCAATGTCGCTCATTAATACATGTCTACTGCTAGTCACTGACTTTTACTGCATTCTTACAGTAAGTCATAATGTTATGCTTCTGTCCTTTTCTTCAGTCCCCATCTATGTGCCATTCCTCATCGTTGGGTCCGTGTTTGTCGCCTTCATCATCTTGGGGTCACTTGTGGCAGCATGTTGCTGTAGATGTCTCCGACCTAAGCAGGAGCCCCAGCAGAGCCGGGCCCCAGGAGGAAACCGCTTGATGGAGACCATCCCCATGATCCCCAGCGCCAGCACTTCACGAGGGTCATCTTCCCGCCAGTCCAGCACAGCCGCCAGCTCCAGCTCCAGTGCCAACTCAGGGGCCCGGGCACCCCCAACAAGGTCACAGACCAACTGCTGTTTGCCCGAGGGGACCATGAACAATGTATATGTCAACATGCCCACAAATTTCTCTGTGCTGAACTGTCAGCAGGCCACTCAAATTGTGCCCCATCAAGGACAATACCTGCATCCTCCATATGTGGGGTACACGGTGCAGCATGACTCGGTGCCCATGACTCCTGTGCCCCCGTTCATGGACAGCCTGCAAACGGGCTACAGGCAGATCCAGGCTCCCTTCCCTCACACTAACAGTGAACAGAAGATGTACCCAGCTGTGACCGTGTAACATAAGGTGCTTTGGGGAGTGGGGGATCCTATAGAGGACACAAGGAAAGAGGGAAGCTGTGGACTTGGGAAGGACACTCCAAGTGCAAGTGTGAGCATGTTGATGGTGTTTACAGCACGATTCTTTTGGATGACTTCATTTTCCCCCAAACTGTATGAAATGTCTCTCCAAATTAGCATTTCTGGATCTGTTTCATCCTAGTGCATGACTGATGATGGGAAAAGAGCATCACTTGTATTGCTGATGGTTGTGTGGCAAATGCTTGAGCCCTTAAGTGCCCTTGAGGTATGACTGTCAAAGGAATTTTGTAAACTGATAGATTAAGGATTTTTATTGTTATTATTTCTTTTTGTTTTTTTACTGTACAAGATCAGAATTCCTGTTCCCTCTCTTTACCTGGGACAGTTGTTTTTGTTTTTGTTTTTTAAATAAGCATCCAAAGTTTAGGGAAAAACAAAAGGAACACAGTTATTATAAATGGAAATCTGATTTTAACTCTGAGATTAATCATTGATCTCAATATTTCACAGGCACATCTTAATTTCATTGTAAAAAGATATATATTTTTTGTCTATTTTTGTGTGGTTTTTTTTGGTCTATTTTGTGCTTTTTTACTCTGTGTAGAGATCTTATTACAAAGTGATTTTCTACATTAAAAAGAAACAGATTGTATCACTAACTAGTGACATTTCAGAACTCTGGGATTATTTTAATCTTGAAGTAGTGGGTGGTGTAGTAATAAAACCATTCATCTCTTTTACTATGGCTTCTAATTTTCTGACTTTTCATTGACATCTGAGAAGTAATTCAGTGTTTTTTATGCTGAAATCATAAACTCTCACCTGCTTTTTCTCCAAATTACTTTTAATTTACCATGTGGTATGACTTGGTATTTTGTTCTGTCTGGTTTTCTACCCCCATATCTATATAATACTAAGTGCAAGTAATTATTATTATAATGAAGATCAGCATTTCTGTCTAGATGTGACAAAACTTCTTCTTGTTTTACCTATAAAAATTCAAAGAAATGATTTATAATGAGACTTAGTATAGCTCTTCAGCCATAATCTGAGACTGGAGATGAAATTTAAGCCACTAATATGGTTTACGTTGCAAAACACCAGGCTTTTTATAATCTCATTATCAAAAAGGCTCATTTTTTAGACTTTATGAATTATTAAGTCAAAAGATAAGCTTTTCAGAGAGATAATTACCTTTCCTCCCCCAATAAGTTAGTTTCCTTTTCTTGGAATCCTAAACAAGCACTGCATTCATCACAATGTTCTGAATTATGATATTCAAATGAATTTATTTGTGTACTGTTATAAGAAATAATTTAAGAATGTGCAAGTAAATTTCCACCTACTAACAAACCAAGATTTGTAATTAAACAAACTATTGTAAAGTATTCATCTTTTACACACACATATACACACAGTTCTCCTCTCTATCAGTCATCTCTACTATCTATCTGTCTATCATCTTTATATCTAGCTTTTGGCTGAATAATGTAAAACCATTGTTGGTAATTGGTATCAGAAAAGATACTCAATTTTCTTAAATAACCAAAGGCAGGGAAAAAATCATTTTACTTATTAATAAATATTTTATGGTATGAATTCCTAGGAGAGTTGGGTTTTTTTCATTTGCATTCTATTTGGTAATTTTTCAGGTGGTCTATTAAACCTGTTAATAGAATTACTAAAAATCAAATATTGTTTCTAAGAACCAAGAGCCCACCTTTTTAAAGTACTATTTAACAATTGAGAAGTTTATGTCTAAAGTGAGTTATTTTACATATTCCATGAGAAATGTTGACAACACAAAAGAGAATTCTTTTGTGGTCGTTCTATTATTAGTATATGTAGTCCATACATTATCTTTGATGGAGGATTCTGGCTTATTTGAAGAAATAAAATTCCCAGAAGCTTTGAGGTGAAAGGGACCTTAGAGATCACACACTCTAGGGACTGGCCAACATTTTTTCAGTGAAAAGCCAGAAAGTAAATCTTTTAGGCTTTGCAGGCTATGTATTTTCTAGGGTCTATTCAGCCCTGCTGCCACCCTGCTATTGTAGCACAAAACAGCTAAAAAAAATACATGAATAAATGAGCATGGATGTGTTTCATCAAAACCTTAGCAATGGATGCTGAAATACGAATTTCATTTCATTTTCACCTGCCACAAAATATTCTATTTTTTATTTCCTCTCTCCCTCTCCCCCACTAGCATTTCAAAATGAAAAAATCATTCTAAGCTCTAGAAAACAAAAACAAATACAGGCAGAGAGCCAGAGGGCAGATTCGGCCATTGGGTCATAACTTGAAAATCCCTAATCAAGATCATCCTTTCCCAGTGCAGGACTTCCTGTGCTACACCTATGACAGCCTTTTTTTAAATATAGAAGGATGGAGAATGATGATTTATATAAGAATCACTCTATTTTTTTCTTCTTTTCTAGGTGGTAATTAAATATGATTAAGGTAAAAGTGCACTTTAATAAATGAAATAAGTTGTTCATTTAGTGAATGCTACTGGTCTTTCAAAAATATAGTATCACCTAATGCAACATTATACCCTTTCAATTGTTATGAAAAGTGAAGAAATTTAGTTCACAAAGTAAAGTTCCAATACATTATTTAAGTAAACTTTTGTTGCTGAAATATTTTAGTCTGTTGCAGGGGAGAAGGAGCACTTACAGATAGGGAAAGAGTTGACTGTTGCATACTTTCTTCTGTGTCTAAATCTTAGTGTTGGCTCATAATGGTTCTAGGGGAATTCTGTATCCCTGTGTATAGGAATGTGTGACCTTTGACTTCAAGGAAGAAGAAATCAACCAGCTTTTCACATCCATTTGAGAGGTCCAAAACTGCATTTTCTATCTTCGCTTCTTCGACCAGAAAAGTTAAAATTTTACAAAGATATCAACATCCAAAGGGGAAGAATATCATTAAGACAAATGCATTTTGATTCAGCATATTTTACTCTGCAATGCTCACCTTCAAGCTAATTTCCACTGATTACCTTCCCAGATGCTTGACTAATAAAATATTTCATCTATGAAATTTACCTGGAGTTCATTTTTTCAAGATTGCAGAGTTTTATTTCATGAAGTCTGTGAACCATATTTTTTTCCTTGTTATGTTACTAATTGGGAGTTGAGTTTCCTTCAGAAGTGTTTCCTGAGCATTTCCATCAATGTTTTAGAATGAAATTGGTGAGGAAAATCAAGGCAGATGTCCATAAATGGACTGGTCATAGGTGAGAAAAATATACATGGAACTAAAAATTGGGATTAGAGTTTGGAATAATCCACCCTTAGCTCAGTTTGACCACTGGTATAGCACTGACACTTAGTTCCTTTTTTCTCTCAGAGACTTTGATTCTGCAAATTCCTAATTAAAGGCATTTAGATTAAGCAAGCACATTATACTTTCTAAATGCTTAAAAGGAATAAGTTTTGTTCTTTTTAATGGACTTTAAAATTGAGACTTCTTATGAACTTAGCCTGTTCTTTCTCAAGTCAAGAATTGCAGTACTAAAATGTATAATGTGATCCAGTGCAGATTTCTCAAAGTATGTGCTTGGGAGAGCTTGTTGGAATTTGAGGAGAGGGGTTACAATGGGCAGAAAAATCAAACTGACACTATTACTCATTAGGGTTGAAGGGGGCATCCTGACACCTACCAGCCTTATTGGACCTGCTGATACTTCTAAGTAAATACTATATCAATAATTATAGTTAAATGAACTTTATAAGATTTAAACAAATGTGATCACTTCCCCATTTTGTTCTTTCTCTTGGTCACTTGAGCAAGAGGAAAATCAAAGCCACCAAGGAAGTCGCCTGATCTTGAGTGGAGGCCTCTCCAGGCACAGAGTGGCAGTAGTTTTAAAAAACCTGGGAATTGTGCAGACTCCCCGGGAGCCTGCCCAAAAAAGGGTCTGGGAGCCTGGGATGTGGGTCTGGAGCTAACCACAAGGGACAGCAAAGACTTTATGCTCAAGTGTTAGAGCCCCTTTCATGTTTAAAAGGGGCAGCCAAAATATTTCAAAGAGGAATAAATCATGTGAGCAAATGAAGCACTATTACTCATCTCTCAATCTTAATTTCTTCTCAATGAGGTGGTAGAAACTTGAGGACGTGTCCATCCTGCCATCCTCTCTTACTTTCTACCTTTTTTTTAAGAACTGGAGATCAGCTATTTATTCAGCCCATTTATTCCAAAGCACTTATACAGAAAACGTCTTTACTCTTGAAAGTTTTTTCTTAATTCAAAATATGAATGTTGTGATTCAAATGAGTTTAAGTTTGAGTAAGTGAAAGCTGACAAAAATACTAGAAATTATTAACTTCTGAAAATTATAACAATGTGCTAAGTAAATATGTTTTTATACTTTGATTTGCATTTATTTTCCTTTATCCTCCTGATATTCTGGATATAATCATTTATCAGTGAAAAAATGGAAAAATAAAACCCTTGAAAAACAGTAATTACTGTCTAAGATGTTAGGTAATTTTGAATATTAACTATAATTTCACAGCACTGTGACAGAGTAACTCTTAGATAAAATTACAAAGTTTTATGTAAAGACTTGGCTGTGAGGATCATTTTGCTTTTCACAAGTTAAATCTGAGCATGCCTTCAACATTTATATCCATAACTGAAGAAGTTATACTCAAATAAAGAATAAGAAATTTAAAATTAATGCTTAAAATACATTTTTTTTTTTTTTTTTTTAGAGGCATGCTTTATTTATTTGTTTGCTGGTTTGTTTGTTTGTTTTGTTTATACATGCACTGGGTACAGTCAGAAGCGCGGGAGGGTGAGAGAATTCACCAGAGCCAGAGCGGGGAGCAGAGCAGGCAGAAGGACCGAAGTACACTGCTGAGGGGAGCAGCGGGCGGCAGGAGAGGTCTGCGCGCCATGTGGGACCCTCCTCTGGTGGCCGGGGAGCAGCCGGGGATCGAACCGGCGCCGCAGAGGCCGCGGGCAGCTTCGCAACCCAGCGCTCAACCGCTGCGCCACCGGGGAGGCCCTTAAAATACATTTTAAATAAGAGATGACAAAAGGGGTAAAAAGTTTATGGTGGCAGCCTAAGATTGATTTTAATACATAAAACTTGCATCTCAATTTCAAGCATCTTGAAATGTAGGTCTTTCCATTTAGAAAAATCATAGGTTACACAAGACATTATTTACTCAGTAGACATAACAGCTGTAGAAGACTGATTGCCATCTGTAACATGTATATAAAATTACCACATGTGTGGATACATATGTGTACAGAATGATCACAGGAAAATTTGAAACAGAAATAACTTATTATATGAGGTTATCTCATCCAAGATTCTGCTCTCAATTTTTGATGATTTTTTTAAAAAACTAGAGTTTGTTTGCGGGGCTCAGCTTTACTTGTCTCAGTTATAACTGGTTCCATCTAGCTTCTTCTGGAATCACATGACCCATCTCTACCATTTAGGGTGTGACCTTCAGTGTGAGCTTTAATTTTCTGAAGCTGAGTATACTCAGAGGGGATTAATAATACACACCTCCTAGGGCTGGTATAGGGACAAAGGATAACATAAAATAGTGTTAGTAGTATTCAACAGGCTTTCATGAGACGCACAGAATTCTGTTTAGATATTTTTAACCAATATAGAGAAATACATAGTGTATATTGACAAAATATGTCAAATATGTTGAGATCTTTGACATCTAGTTTAGGAGACTTTTCTTATTTTTGTTTCAATAAGCAATCAGCTTTACATGGGTTAGTCTTAATTTCATGTACTTTCAGGTTGCTTAGGAGACTTGCACAGAATTGGCTTTGTATGGCCCGTGAATCAACACCATCAGAACTACTCTTGGTAATGCCTAAGTGACTTGTCTTAATTCTCTGCACCTTGCTTTGTGAATTAGCAGGATTTCTTTCACTGCTCTCTTTCTACTAGGTTTGACTATTCCCACCCTGCCTTCTGATCTGCCAGTTAGCTAGCATCTCTCTGAACCAATCAGGGTTTAGTCAACAACCATTTAGACTGAATCATTTTATATTTATCTTCTACTGAATTAGAACTTACACACAGTAAAGCACACACATCTTAAATGTACAGCTGGATAAACCATCACCCAGATCAAGAGATAGAAAAAATCCAATTGATAGCTGCTCAAAATAAGTGCTCTTCTGATGTCTGTTACATCAGTGTTGCCTGGTTTTGAAGGTCATATAAATGGAATCACACAGTATATATATTTTTTGTATCTGGCTTCTTGTACCTAATGTTTTAACTAATGTTGAATGAAGCAGGGATTTTCCCCTTTTGTTGCTGTGTAATATTCCACTATATGGGATATGTATATAATAACTACCCAACCTATCTTGATGGGTATTTGGGTTATATTCAGTTTGGGGCTATTAGGAATAATGTTGTTAGTAACATTTTAAAAACATGCACTCAGTTCTCTTGCCTGGAATTTCAGGAGTAGAATTTGTCATAGAATGTGTGTTTATTTCCCTTAGTAGAAATGACCAGTTATTTTCAAGAGAGAGAGTTTGTATAAGGCATTGGTTAAACAAATATTAGAGAACAGAAACAGCAAAAGGGGACACTGATGTAACAGAGAAAGTCATTACAAAGCCATTACTATCCCAATAGTCAGAGGAACAAAGGGA